TGACATAAAAACCAGTAGCAGCATTAGGTGCTATTTCATCTGTGTAGAATTTTAGCAGCAAAGCAAAACATAACGCCGTAGAGATGAAACAAGCAGTAAATATGTTCTTTTATATCTACAAAATAAGTTCAAGTAGGAATTTCTCAAGGATATCAAACATACACATCAGCCTCACAGAACACACATCAAGCAATTTTTAAACAAATTATATTTACATAATACTTCTATTATCAAGTGTTTCACAAGAAAACATAACCAATGAACAAGTATCTCACTAACAGCGTAATCAAAATGAATCTGTGACAATATATGAAACATCACAACTACATATTTCAAGCCGAGATTCAAAGAGTAAGCATTCGAAAATCAACCCAAAATGCATTCAAATTAAACAGCTCATGAAATCTAACAAGACCAGAGTATAAACAGCATAAAAAATGAGTTGAAATCGAATCAAAGTCATGATTAGAAACAAAAACCAACCGACAAAAGACTGAATCGCTGTTGCGTGATTGTTGAGCAGGAAATAAAAAAATGGGACGTTCTCCGTTCGCTGCAGCTGGAGTAACTTTGCGGTGTCGTCGCAAAACAGAATGAGATCCTTGTTGGCTTTAACACATCATCGGAAGCGCAAGACTTGAGACGACGTGGTATTGACAGAAGATGAGACTATCTCGAAGCAGGTGCTAATACGGTAGTGAAGGAGATAGACGACAAAAACAACGACAAAGTAGACGATGTTGAAGTTACGCCGGCGGCGACAGTAGGAATTGCGAAAGAGAAACAAAGGGTTTTGATGATGACGGAAACAGAAGGAGTTCAACGAAAAAAGAAATTTAGGGTGAAGAAGACGGCAAGTCGAAGGGGTTAATGGTGATGGAGGAGGGGTTTCGCGGTGGCAGAAGATGAGGGGGCTTTAATGGTGGAACATTTCGTGAGGTGAGGGTAACGGCGGGGTGTTGATGAGCTTCCAAGCATATGGATGGAGCCGTTAGGGTTTAAAGAGGGGTGGAGGATGAACAGTAATGCATTTTGGGTCCCCCCTTAATCTGAAAAAATCTCTCCCATTAAATACACAGCCAACAAAAACCCTAACGGGCCCTCCCCAAACATGGGCCTTATTCAAAATCCAGATTTCTTCTATTTTCTTTTATAATTTTTCAGCAATTTAGTTAATTAGTTAATAATAAACAAAGATTAATAATGCAAATTAATAATTAAAATACTAACTAACATAATTAAGTAAGAAAAGAATATTAACAAAACACATAAATAAATATTAACAAATGAATAGATTAATTTAAATTAAATTAATAACTATTTTTTATATATAAAAAAAAATGAAAATTAAATATATATATATATATATATAAAAGATATGAATATATGTAAGACAAAAAAAGATATTTACAAATAAAAGAAATATATATGTCCATAAAATATTGGCATTAATAATACCTCTTTTTTCTTAAAAAAGAAAAGGGTTTATGAAATTAAGAAAAGAAATAAAATACACAAAAAATGTCCCTTTAGGCCACATGTCACATTTTGATTGGTCAAAAGATAAATTTTTGAAAAAAATCGACCAATTGCGAGATGACACGTGTCTAAATGGCACGGAACAAAAAAAAGCGAAAATAATCACAAAAGGGTAGGACAAATTTAGGGTATGACAGGGCCCCAATCCTTGGCGAGCACTCTATTCTCTAACTACCCATTTCTCCTTTGCGTCTTTAACCTTTTACCCTACCAATTCGCCTTTATAATCAAGAAGAAAACCAGTAAACCTAGACAACACTCTCCATAAAATACCTTAAGAGGTTCCCGTTGAGTACAACGGACGTGAGGGGTGCTAATACCTTCCCCTCGCGTAACCGACTCCCGAACCCGGAACATGGTTGCGACAGCCCTATTCCTATCCTTTCGATTTAATGGGTTTTCTCGATATTTTCCTCTCCCGTTTATTCGGGAAAAATAAAGTTTGGTGGCGACTCTGTCGAACCGCATTTCCGCGCCTTTCACGCGAGGGTCGTTTCTCCGAAATGTCTCCGTGATTTTTCGAGGTGCGACACAGGTTTGAGAAGAAGAAGGGTAAAGGTAAGCATAAGTCTTATGGTGGTGATGCTCTCGGAATTAGGTGTTACCACTATAAGAAGGAATGTCACAGAAGAAAAGTGTACCTTAAATGCTTGAAAGATCATGGTGGTAAGGATAATGGGAATGTAATCATTGTTCAAGATGATTTTGAATCGTCTAATGTTCTGGTAGTTTTGAGCACCAATTCTTGCAAAGAATAAATCATGGATTCAAGTTGCACTTGACACATGACTCCAAACAAAGATGTGTTTTAGGAATTATGTGATAAAGATAATGGATCAGTACTGCTGGGAAACAACAAAGCTTGCAAAATGATATGTATTGGATATGTGAGATTCAAGCTCCATGATGGGTCAATAAAGCTATTGATTGGTGTCAAGTATTGTACCTGACCTTAAGAGAAAGGTGGCAAGGATCTTCTGATGAAAGTCCAGCGTATTTATATCGCCTTGAGAGGCGGCAAAGATCTTCTGAAGGAAGTCCAACGTATTTATATTGCCTTGAGAGGCGACATCAATCTTGTGATAAAAGTCTAACGTATTTGTATTGCCTTGAGCGACAATAAGAATCTTCTGATGGAAATCCAGCGTGTTTGTATTGCCTTGAGAGGAAGTAAGGATCTTCTGATGAAAGTCTAACGTATTTATATTACCTTGAGAGATGGAAAGGATCTTGCGATGAAAGTCCATCATATTTGTATTGCCTTGAGAGGCAGCAAGGATCTTCCGATGGAAGTCTAACATAAGGTATTGCCTCAAGGGGCGACAAGGAACTCCATTGAGAAATCCAGCATACAGTATCGCCTCGAAGGTCAATAAGGACCTTCATTGAGAAGTCCAATACAAGGTATCGGCTCGAGGGGCGGAAAAGACCTTCATAAGACCCAATGAAAGCTGAAAATATCGCCTCGTCTCCCTCCTTCTTAATGACCTTCCTCGTAAGCTACCCTTTCTTAGAACTCGGTAAAAATATAACACTACACAATATAAGCTGAAAATAAGAGGTTTTAGGGTTAGAATATTGTGTACTTGGACATGAGACATTCATTAGGTTTTTATAGTGGATTTTAGGGTTTAAGCCCCTCTAACCTTCTCTCGGGGACACATTTCTTGTTGAACAGGTGTCCATAAAACAAGAAATCCTAAATTCGACGATCTATTTTGTCATGAGATACATTTGAACTTTTCGTTATTGAATCGTTTCTTTAGAGTCTTTCACGGTACATTGACCCAATTCAAAATAGTGATACACATCTTATTAAAAATCTCTCATTCACCTTAATCAAATTTTTTTAAATGTCAAAATACTTCCAAGTACAACACTATGTTGAAGAGTATTACCACCAGCGACCGTCCTGTCCGCATACAAACTATAAATATTAAAATTATAATCCATTTCAATGTGAAAAATTAAATAAACAAATGTTCATGCATACAAACTATAATCTACAACATGTTGATTTTGATGATTAGTTAAAATCTTAAAAATAGCTGTATGAACCATGGCTAAAAAGTCTTTCCTGAGTTGAAAAGGCCAATTCGCAAAATAAAATAGACTACTCTACTATAAATTCTAATCATATATTATTGTGTTTTTTTCAATACTTTTTTTATGATACATAAATATTAATTTTAGTAATTTACATTCTGATTTTACCACTCATTCAACAGATACACAATGACATAAAATATATTATATTTTAAAAAGTATTATTCTAAAAATTATATAGAATTCAGAAAATCTTTAGTATTAACAGTATATTTTATAAAATTTTAAAATATTTATTTTATAAATTTACTAACCTTCTGACGGGCACGCATTTTTTAATTCACATATATAAAAATATTTATGATATTTTTGATTTAATATTAATTTTAAAAGAAAATTATATAAAAATTTAATAATATAAATATTTTTTATTTAATAATTTTAAAATAAAGTTAAGTAGAAAGTTATATAAAAATTTAATAAAAAGAAGTAAGAGATAATAGTAGTAGTTTTGATAGAAGTTATTATCTAAGTTACATATAAATAAATGTAAAATTGGTAAAAAAAAACTACAAAGATAAGTTTTATTTTTATATATGTTATAGATTAATAGAAGTTACATACATATATGTATGTAAGTAAATGTAAAATTGATAAAGAAAAAGTTATACTCAAAATAAGTTTTATTTTTATATATGTCATAGATTACATAATATACTTTCTATCTCAAATTATAAGACATTTTTAACATTTTACACAAATTAAAAAAATTTAATTATTATTTTATAGAAAAATAAATTATGTATGTTTATGATAATACCTCTCATAATTATATAATAGAAAAAAACTAAAAGAGTAAAAAAAATAAATAGTAATAAATAATTGAAAATATATTAAAAATATTATTAATATTGTATTTATTGCATTGAAAATGTAAATTAAAAATTTTGAATTTGAAACAAATTTTTTTTTAATTTGGAATAGAGAGTTGTATTTTTTTCTCACTGCAACTTAATGAAAAGTATTAGATTTTCAACACGAGTATTTCATTATGACAATGGCACATTTTAGAAGATACAAAATGACAATCTTTTATACTAAAAAAGTAATAATTTAGTTATGTACCAAAAATTAAAACAATTTGGTATTTGAAAATGAGAGGAAGAAGCGGTGAAGGGATACCGAGTGCCACCTCAGCAGTTCATTCGTTTGCCATTGCTTGCAATACACTATGATGACATGCATTACCGAAACGAAAAAGAAATAAAATAAAAAATATACAAAAACAGAAAAAGAAAAATAAAAATTCTGAGATTCACCAGAAAATTTTCGATTCCATTGCGTTCCTTTTCCCCTCTTCGTCTCTCTTTCTAGGTCAAACCCTCTTTCGCCATTGATCGACAGAACCATCAACCATGAACATCTTTAGGCTCGCCGGCGACATGACTCATCTCCTCAGCATTCTCGTTCTCCTCCTCAAAATCTACGCCACCAAATCATGTTCAGGTTACAAATTTCCGTTCATTTTCCCCTATTTCATTTGCTTTTCAATTCGCTACCATCACTCACTGGTTGGTGTTGATTTTTTTCATTTTCAGGGATTTCTCGCAAGACGCAAGAGCTATACGCAATCGTGTTCTTGGCACGTTATTTGGATCTGTTCACGGACTTCATTTCCGTGTACAATACCTTTATGAAGGTGGTGTTCATTGCTAGTTCCTTAGCCATTGTTTGGTGCATGCGTGTTCATCCTATGGTCAGGAGAAGTTATGATAAAGAGATTGATACGTTTCGATATTATTTTCTTGTTGCTGCTAGCTTTGTTTTGGCTCTCGTGTTGCACGAAAAATTCACCTTTCAAGAGGTTCCTTTCTATCTTTAACTACTTATTAGTTGCATTTTCTATTTTAGTTGAATTTATTTTCTATAAATTCATTATTGTGCATTATTGATTATTCTATTGTATTCTCCTGGATTGAAATTTATGATCTGTGGGCTTTTATCGTGTTTCATTTGTCTGTTGTATTTGGGGTTTTCAATTGTTGAGCATTTATCCAATTGTTTAATTTCATAAAATTTATGTTTGTCTCATTTGTATTTGGGAAGGCCGTTGGAAGATGTGTTGTATGTGGAGTGATATATGGGTGCATGACTAGGTGATTGATTTGTCTGACCACAATTACAAGGTTTAGATAGGCAGGAAACAGATGCTTATAAACTATGAAACACGCACTCCGACGCTGACACCATGACACAACACGAACACTCGGCGACACACCTCCTCCTTGAGGTGTCAGTGATTCATAGCTTGTAAACTCATGATTGAAGGTCAACCTAGTATTGTTTTGGTCATTATTATTTTCTGGAATGAGGTTATGGAGTTTTTTTCTGTTTTCTCGGCGACACACCTCCTCCTTGAGGTGTCAGTGATTCATAGCTTGTAAACTCATGATTGAAGGTCAACCTAGTATTGTTTTGGTCATTATTATTTTCTGGAATGAGGTTATGGAGTTTTTTTCTGTTTTTTATTGCTTGGGGTTCTTATAACCTCTTGAGCATTTTGTTGCTAAGGGTGACTGTTTTGTTGAGCTCGCATTGCAAACATAGAGAAATAGATATGACCAGCAATGGTGGGTAGGGTTCTATTTGCATCAACCGACATGACAAGACCAGTAAAATAAGCAATAAAATGGAAAGGATTAGCTGAAAGTGAAAAACAATAAAAAAAACCAGTATAATTCATGTTTTATTCATATGTTTCATCAATAATTATTAAAAGAAGTACACTCTTTTTTTTTTAATTAGCAATAAAAGCACATCAACTAAAAATCAAATGCTCCCATTATTTATCATTTCTTCATTTAGTATTTACACATTGATGTGAGTTATTGTCTATCTTTTTCTTTTGCTGTTTCCCCTAGTTGCTAACTATGTAATGCTTGAGTTTTATCTGTTCTGCTTTCCTGTTTTGAATGCTTTGCTATGCAGTTACATTTTTCTCCGTGTGATCAAATATAAATGTAAGTACATTTTTTGGCAACTTTTCTTCGCTTTTGAAATTGCAATTTAAAATGAGATACGTCAGAAAATTATATGTCGCTGATTTGCATGTAAGAGGATGTTCAAAGTTGTTTATTAGAACTAAGAACCCTTTTTTAGTTAGTTTCATGGTTGGAGAGGATTGAGTTATAAGTAAAAGATTTGATTTTCGTTCTTTCCTTCATTCATATGCATAAATATCTAAAAGCCTACGGATAAGTTTCATGCAAATTGTGTAATTGAGAGCATAGTGGTTAGGATTCAATATTCTGTCAAATGTGTTGAATCCAACTATAATGCCAAACTTATAGGTTCATCAGTGAAACTATTTTATTCCTTTTTCAACTGGAAAGTTATTTCTTTATACGTTTGAACCTTGCTCATAGGAAAAGAACGGTTTCAGATATGATGAGTGTTCCTTAATGTGGTGCGTCGGTATGATCACCGTTTATATTTTAGTTGATTCTCAATCATGTACTGTATTTATTTACTACTGCTACATTGTCAATGGATGAGTAACTTTCAAGTAAGATACATATGGTCCATATAACTGGATATAATTCTTAGGCTAATGAACAATGTTACACACACACACACACACACACACAAAAACCCACTATGGATAGAATATGATTTTTGTTGATTTAATTGTTCAATTATAGTTCATGATTATTTGTCAACTGTTCTAAAATTTCAACAAGAACAAGTTTATAATCAGATGAATTTTATTTTAATATAATTTGAAAGGATGGCCAAGTATCATGCAATTTTTAAGCCAAACATTTGGGCAAAGATACTTTGTTCATTGTTTGTAATATTCAACATTGACAAATTTCATGTCATCTTCTTATAACCTCAATACTTGGTTTACTAATGAGTAACGACAAAGCTGGCCACTCATAGTGTGGGATAAAATGAATTCTTTGATGATATTATATCTATTTCAAACTTCTGTATAGAATCTGCTGCATCTTTGAATTATTTTCCCCTCCTTTTTTTAATTTTTTTAAGGTAAATATTGCAAAAGCTAATGAAAACATGTCAACTGTTTTGAAATGTTGTTCCTCTCCAATAATGTATCCTGTTGATTGCTATTGCACGCATTACATGTCAGCTTTATAGTGTAATTCTGTTATTATACAATGTAACATAATTAATATGGCGGCTAAGTGGAAATGTTCAATATACTTGATTTTATGTATGTCTATTTCAGGTCTTCTGGGCATTTTCAATATACTTAGAGGCAGTTGCAATACTGCCCCAGCTGGTTATGTTGCAACGAAGTGGGAATGTTGACAATTTGACGGGGCAATATGTATTCTTTCTTGGGTATGTGCACTTTTATTGATTTAGCTTCTATTTTAAGACCTATCGCCATGTTTTATCTGCTAGATACTATGGATTTTCATCTTTATGTTGATTATCATCTTGACTGTCCTCTGAGGTATTTGGAAATCATCTAGTTGTGTTATGCCAAAAATATTGTGTACTTCCTAGATACTTTTGTCCTCTTGATTGTCCTCTAAGAAATATGTTTCCTCTACTTGATATATATTTGGTTGTCATAACTTGATGATACCTTATTTTAAAATCCTGTTAATTGGGCTGAATGGCACTTTTTTGCATATGTATTTTCTTGTCTCCATTCTTGGTACTTGCTTAATTACTTGAGCAATTTTCTGTAGAACTTGTAAATATAGTCAATTTGAACTTGTCTCAAAATCTGTTAACACTGATAAATAAAATAATATACCATTAATTCTTAAACTGCAGTGCATATCGGGGATTTTACATTCTCAACTGGATATACCGCTATTTGACTGAGCCACGTTTCACAAGATGGATAGGTAAATATGCTTAAAATCAAAATATGAATCGCCATTTAAACTATATTTCTACTCTAGTAATATTCTGATTGCTTTCTTGGTTTTGCAGCTTGTGTCTCAGGTGTTGTTCAGACGGCTTTGTATGCTGATTTCTTCTACTATTATTTCATTAGGTAACCAATATTAATCTGTCTAATTTTATCATGTTTCTATTATATTGACACAACAAATAGATAATACTGGGAATTTCATTTTGCAGTTGGAAGAACAATTCCAAATTAAAGTTGCCTGAATGAATCATATCAAGATTGTTTTGAAACTTAGACCCTTATTAGGTGAGTCCCTGCTGGATTTGAAGCGTATATTCTAGAGATAGATGAGATGAGGCCAGCTCTGCCCTATTCATATGCGGGGTAGATGTAGTTTTTTTTTTACGTGCAAGGGTAAATGGGTTTTAAATTCTGATGAACACAACAGCCTCATAGCGATGCTGATATATTTTATTTGTAGATTCAGGTCACCATTCCATGGTATTGTATAGTTTGAAGTGTAAGGCAGCTGATTTTGGTTATGATTGGAATGATCCCGGCTTAGGGTATGATTACACTGTAAAAATTATACAATTTACTTCTCACCTAGCTTGCAAAATGTATTCGGAATATTCTATAACTATACAGTTAAATGATGTTAATTGGACAATGTATCTTGAACACTCCGTGAGGGAATCTTAGGTAGGTAGGCAGTAAAGAAAAATCCTTTCACTTGTCAACATCACCCCCCTCATCACTCCCACTAGATGACCAAACTTTCTTATATTATGATGTACACTTGAACCATTAGGTGACTGGATCTGAATCATGGGAACGACAAAGTACAAAGCTTCATTACTACTTTGCTCGAACACGTTTAGAGCAAAACTTGTTTTCCATTTCATTAAAGGGATGATTACTTCACTCCAACGCAAGCAAAACTGATATTGGACAACACACAATTCTAACAAGAGAGCTTGATATAATCAAGGTCATCACACTTTCATAATACCATTTTATGAATTTTAAGCAAGGCTTCTGCAGTGTTGAAAAAACCTTAATTTATTTAATCAATAAATTATCGCACTCTGAAAACTAACTATAGTAGTGACTAACTGAACAAATTCTTATACGAGAGTATGAAGCTTAGATTATTGAAAAAAAATCATCTCGTCTCGAGAGTTGAGACTAAAGAATGCCTCAGAAAAACCAATTCTTAAACATCGAACCAGCCATGAAATGCCTCTGACCACTGCTTTCTGCGAGCCTGGAAGAAAACAATCATCTCATTTCTTGAGGTCAAGCTGTCCTTAATCACAGGGTGGCTGAGAAAATTAGGCATCCATGCAGTGATGGCTGAACATTTCAATGGGTCTATTATCTGCATACACCCAACTTCTTCATAAATAGGGAGCCAGTAAGAAATCCATCCAAGAGCAAGATCAAGGTACCCAATATTGTCTCCTCCAAAGAATTTCTTCCCTTTAATCTCCTCTTCTATCTTCTCTATTGCTTCTCTTGCTAGCTTCACAGCCTTTTCTTGTTCTTCCCCACTGGTACACATTGCAATAAATGATGCTTCCCAAAGCTGACACATGCACAATACAGGGATTGAAAGATATTAATAATTGAATAGATTTTAGCTTATATCCTAAAAATTAAAATCCAAAATAACCATTTTTAAATTATTGTGAAACCCAAAATTAATCAAAAGAGATTTGATATATAAGCTACCTTTTTATCAGAAAAGTTAGCCCAAAAGCGAGCAAGAGCTTTTTCATAAGGATGGTGAGGCAAAAGTGGAGATTGCTTCCATGTTTCATCAATGTATTCAAGGATAATTAGTGACTCTGCTATTGATTTCTGGCCATGAACAAGAACCGGAACCTTCTTGTAAACCGGGTTCAATTCTAAAAGGAGAGGGCTTTTGTTGAATATATCATCTTCAACATGCTCATAATCAATACCCTTGAGTTTCAAACCCCACTCAACCCTCTTAGCAAATGGACTCATCCAAAAGCTCAGCAACTTCACATCTTGGCTTCCCATTATCTTGTTTTACATGTTTGTTTCCTTTGTTTCTTCTATATATAGTAATAGTATGTGCTTCTGATATTGAAGTGCTTGGTGGGAAAGTAAAAGTGCTTATATGCTATTGTTTCTTTCTCTCCACGCAAATTATGCAAAATATTCTTGTCACTTTCTAAGGAGTATACATACATTTTTTTTTTGTCAAAGTCATGTTGTAGACTCTAGAGACGACACATTTGACTATATTTGGCCGGTCCAACTAAAGTAAAGATTTAAAATAAAATTTAAAAAATGGGATTTTTTAAAATTAAAGATATATCATATTAAATTATTTTTAAGTTTAATAAATTTTTATAATGTTAAATGATACAAAAATAAATATTAAATGCATTTATAAATTAATTATTTTTGTAAATTATTTAGTGACAGAATAAGAATAAAATTCATATTAAAAAACAGAACATAATGAATTCAAGAGTGGGTATTAGTTAAAGTTTGGAACTTGAGAGTGTCTTTTTTTTTTTTAGTTCTTTTTAATTTTTTAATTTATTTCAAATTTAAATTTTTTCAAATGTTAACAATTTTTGTGTTAGCAATGCAACTTTGTCATTAAACGGATCCCGTAGAGTTTGTAGAATTTTAGGTTTGTATAACTTAATCCTTACAAAATCAATAATAAATATCACACCCAATTGTAAACAAATTATTAAATTAATATTACTATGAGATTCTTAACACTTTTTATTTTCACGCAAAAAAATTGAACAAAATGTGATCACAATAATCTATTTATTTAAAGACTATTTCATTAAGGGATATTCTAAGCATGGACCTATACCCCCAACTAAGTTTTAGGGCCGACTCTACGATCAAGGCTTACCAAATGGTGGGCAATTTGATTATGCCACATGTTCAAAAACATAACAGCAGCAGGTGAGAGGGTATTGGAACTCTGGTTTATTGGTCGAATTATTGGGTTATTGGTCAAACTGTATGACTAAATCGGATAGAATTGAATTATTCGGTTGAATAAATTGATCACTATAATAAAATTATATAAGTATTAAACCGATCGAACCAGATGATTCAGTGTCGAAAAAAATCACTAACGCCTAAAAATTTTTAAAATATCATAATTTTACAAGTTTATAATTTAAATTCAAATTTAAATCAATTATAAATTTAAGTCAAATAATTGATTTAAAAATAAAAAAAATAAATATCAATCTCAAATATAAATTTATGTTTGTTATCTATATAACATGCATTATTATTTACTTTACGGAATACTTCATAGGCTCAGCCCAACTAATAAAAACCAATGAAATCAATCATATAAGAGAGAATAGATTATGTTTAAATTCCACAACCTAAATGCTATAATACTACAATAGTCTCTATTTATTATATTTAATCGTAGTCATCAATTTTTTTAAAAAATAATATTTACTTTCTCTTATATTTAAATTTTTTATTTTTTAAATAATGAAAAATGACGTCGTTTTAATTAAAAAAACACGCATTTGAACCACCGGTTTTCTAAAACCGCCGATTTGCCGATTTTTACCGGTTTACACCCGTTCTCACCGATTCAATTGCATATCTGATCTAATAACTGAACCAAATCGGTTACCACTCCGGTTCTCGGTTCAATCAGTCTGACCGGCCAGTCCGATTTTTAAAACTATAAGCAACACCTTGAAAGCTTTTAAATAAGAGAATTTCTTTTTTTCACTTTATGCATTTCTTACACACAGGGTAGAGTTCTCATTATCCCTTCAGGTTTCAGAGATATATCTCTGGACGGGCTCCACTTCTGATTGAACATATTTCGGAGATATATCTCCAGAACTATTTCAAACCTTAAACGCTCAGAGCATGTCTCCCATAACCCATTTTCTTAAAATATTTCCGGAAATGTATCTACGTGAATATTCCAGAGATACATCTTTGAGCAGAACATATTTTTTATAACGAGTTGTGTATTTGTTTTCAAATGAATTATGAAGAACGATATCGAATAAAATAGAGTACATACAAAATAATATAGCCATATAATAGTAAAATGTCGTATAACACCAACTGCAAAATGTAGTAACAATGTCAGGAAAAAAAATACAAACTAAAGTAAAACATCAAAATAACAACAGACTCCTATTGGGCATGCCTGTCAACCTCTCTTCCACCTCTTGTGCCTCCTATGCCTGGTATGTCTGGTCTGCCTCCTCGACCATTGATTCCCCCCGTCCTCGCGTGATGTCTGTGATACAATAGTGCCCTCTGTGCCTCCGCAACCATGACATCCAGTACTCGCCGCATAGCAGAACCCTTAGGGAAGATACCCTCGTCAATGCCTACCTGCGCAATTTTCACTATGCAACGACAGCGAAGCAATACATCCTCAGTATGATCTAGCTGAGCATGTTGCTCCTCTAGAATCTCCTGACGAGCGGATCTCGGCGGATCGCTTGGAGTAGTTGGCACCATGTATGGATGTGAGACCCTAAAGAACCACCTGATGTATCTGTCGACGTAACTTCACTCATTCGGTGCTATGGTAACCTGAGCTTCCTCCGGTACTAGGTGACTCTGATAATCAGCAAACATCTCCTATATCTGTATATGAGTCAATGCAGGAGGATCAGAGGCAATAGGGTGTTTGGGGATGGTCTGAGTGTACCTGAACTGCTGCATGAAGTGCTCGGGCAGATGAGGAGCAGTGATACGCGATCCGCAGGCCAGCCATCAGGAGTATAAAAATATGTGGTCAAATGGTCACGTTTAACGGTGATCTACATAGCAGTTGAAGTGGATGTCCTCGACAGTCAAGCAGTCAAGATAGACTCTGAAAGGCTCGACCGTCTGGTTTCCTCTCAGCAGGATAAAAGCACAGACCCGAGACATCTCCTTAGTATACTCATTCCAACATGCCCAACCAACGATGTGCGGAAAGGGTTGCAGGAGCCATGCCTGAAATGAAAATAAAAAGCATATTTAGGGATCAAGAATTATCACAAATGTGAAATGAAAATGATAAAAAAAATTCAAGGATAAAAAATTATTACCACTAGTAGTGTCCTGCTGCCTGTGACCTGCTTCGTCCTCCATCGACATCCATCTCTCAACTTTGAATATAGATAGGCCAGGCAAGCCGCCCCCCAGTTGTACTTATGAATCCGTGTGAGATCAAAGAAGTACCAGAGGTATGTAACGTCAGTATAGGTGACACTTGTGTCCATAAAAATACAAGTGCCAACCAAATAAAGAAAATATGTCCTCAAAGCACGAGTTCTATGATGATACAATATACTTCTAGTAGAGAAATACTCCTGGCATGTTTTCATTAAAAAAATTACACCTTGGCTGAAATATGCAACTTCCATATCTACACTCAAAGATTCTTGAGATTTTTCATTATGGTAAAGAGATAAGAGCCAATCATAACCATTTTTATTGTATATTGATCATTCAGATCAAAACTGTCAAAATGGACTACCCGACCTTAAATGAGCGGATCCTGATGGGCCTCAGTCTTTTTAGGGTCAGACTAAAAAAACTCTACTATAATATGAGCTCAAATAATATTACCCGAATCCGGCCCTATAAGTTCCTCAAACTACCTGACTCTAAACATACTTTATTATTATTATTATTATTATTATTATTGTTATTTTATACAAAAATTAAAATAAAAATCTCATAAGATTTATCATCAATACAATGAAAAATTATATTATTTTAAATATAGTACATTTTAAGTACTATATTAATTTTTATAAACATTTTAATATGTTTTTGAATATAATGTTGATCTCACCTGACCAGAAGGGAATCAATGACCTGCCACGCGTCGTTGATCTGCTAGCTGCTCACCGAGGATATGGAAGAGGAGGGGGTGTACCTGAAATACACTTCGATGCCAAAGTAAGTGACGGGCAGAGTGGAAGCAAGTACAGAGAGAGAGAGAGTAAGAGAGTTAAGTTACCTGACCCTCTGGTGAAGAGGGTATTTACAGTGAACCCCCAGCGCAGAGCCAACGGTTACCTAGCACTGGGCTGGGCTGCCAGGCCCAATGTTAGTAACTGCTAGGACTGACGTAGCGCCGTGAAGACCAGCACGTGGTCTTCGCCCTAGGGTAACTGTTCCACACTATCCTGGAGGAGGAAGACCGAATCTCCAAGACGTGGGTAGTTACTTTATGACGTGTCCCTGCTGAGGGACACATAGAGAACGTAGGGGGGAGGCTCGAGGATCTCCCCGGGAAGACTAGGCTCTGCCCAACGAAGGGGAGGACAAAGGCTGGCTGGCCGGCAGCGAGGGTCATGCCCGACAACTGAGGGCCTATGCCCGACGAGGGAGGAATGCTGTGCTCGACGGTGTGGTCCTGTTGGGCCCAACCTCAGTGGGGCTTGGGCTTGTTCATTTGTGGGCTAAGTCTCGGCCCAATCCAGAACAGTAGCCACCCCAAGTCATTGTTCATGGTCAGGTGAGCTATAACTTGAGTAGAGACTGGCGTCGGGTGAACTGATCAGTCGGGCAGGATGCGAGAATGGCGTCGGGCGCACCAATATGTTGGGCGGTTCGCCCTTGTGTCGGTCAGATGGGCGTATGACGAGGTAGAGCCCGCGGACGAGGGAAGAACTTGAAGAGACGCAATGAATATGGAGAGTCGCCATGTGTCTGCTTGTGATGGTTATGGGCTAGGCACTTGAGTGCCTAGGGACGCTTCGTTTCCCGTGCTAGGGGTATATATGTGTTGACCTCACTCGTCTTTTCACTCATCCGCTTATTCGCAGCTGCTCAATATCACAAGACGTTTCTGCCCGACAACTTAGACGTTTCTGCCCGACGACAGTCTTTCTACATCTATACTAAGTAAGTTTCCACACCTTTCTCGGTGTTTTTTGCTGTTTGTGGCGGTGTTCCGGCGGCTCCGCTGGGGGCGCTGGGAATACTGTGGGTTTTTTCGACGAATACGCTGGAGGATCCTTCAAAATTAGGATAGAAAACGACCGTCC